TCATAACCGGTCAGGGCCGCGTTGCCAGCCTGAAATCCCGATTTTCCACACCCAGCCCGTGTGTGGCCAAAGCAGGACGGTTACAGCCTGGGCTGCCTCCTGCCCTCTCTCCCTTGCCCCTCCGCCCCCCCCTCCGCCCCCAGAGCAGGGAAGCCCTTGTGTGCCCCACCCCCCAGCCCCACGGTCAGTCCCCTTGTTTACGATGCCACTTTGCTGACCTCAGAAACGCCGAGTCAGGCGAACGCCAGCGCGGCGGGACCCTTTGTTGGGTTCCAGACACAAATCCGGACATTGTCCCGCTCCTCGCTCGACTCGTGCCTGTCGGCCTGTGTCAGCTCTTTGACTGCTCAGCACGAGGCCTTTGGGGTCCTGCTGAGGGGGAGCCCGGGGGGGGGCCTTGTCCAGCCAGGCAGGGATCTCCTGTGTCTCCTCTGCAGTGGAGGGGGGTTGCGTTCTGCTGCCTTGCTTCGGACCTCCTGAGTGATGCCACAGGCAACAAGGGCTTCCCACGACCCCCTCTGGGTGCCAAGCCACCATGTGCTTCCCGGGCCCTCCTCCGATAGCTCCCCCCCGCCCTTCGTTAAAGAGACATTGTCCGGGTTAGAGCTCGTCTGGGGGGACCCAAGTTTGTTGCTAGGTAGAGAAGAGGAAGCATGGACCATCTCATCTTTGGTAGATTGGCTAATGTGCAGTATATTCCACTTTATTATATTCATCAGTAATACAAGGAACCCATAGACTTGTATCCTGTAAGAAAGGGGTGGGCAATAATTTTTTACCAGGGGCCACTTCAGAAATTTTTCAAGTGGCCCTGGGCTGCCCCAGAAGGGGCGGAGCCTCAGATGGAAGGGGCGGAGCCAGGATGCGTCCCTATTCGCAGACCATGATTGGTCTGGCGGTAGGGGAGCTGGTGAAGTTTTTGCCCCTCGCCAGAGGTTTGCCCTAGGTGCACATGCCCCTGGTGGTGGAAGGAGACTTTGCACACTCCCCTTTCTGCCCCCCCCGGCCAATCAGGGCTTGAGGGCAGGGGAGCATGAGGATTCTCCTACTGGCAGGGCGGAGGAAATTTCACACGCTCTCCCCGCCCCCAGACTCTGATTGGCCTGAGGCCAGTGGAGGGGCAGGGCCTCTCCGGGCTGTATCAGCCCCCACTTGGCAGGCTGGATATGGCCCGCGGAGGCTCTTTTGCCCACCCCTGGTCCATATGGTGGCAGCTGCTAACAGGTCAGGGATAGAATTATTCCGGGCCCTCTATCGACCGAGTGAGAGACGGGGTACGATCCTGCCTCCCTGCGTGGCAGCCCAACACGCCACTGCCTGCCTCTCTGGGAACCCCCCTTAACAAAACCGGCATCTTGCAATGATCTAGTTTGCTCATCCCCGTTAACGCTTGTTTCCCTTCTGAGCCTCTGTCAGCTTGGCGCATTGCACAGAGCTAGTCAGGCTGCTGTTGGTTTCTAGTCAGTTTCGCGCTCTGGGTTCGAGGCTAGGCCCGGGAGGAACATGGGGGATGAGGGGAATCCTAAAACGAAGGGAAACCGTTTCAAAAAATCCTATTCCCGTTTGGTGTTTAATAAAAAAAATAATTTTTCAACTGATGAGGCCATTGCGGGTTTCCACTGCGGGGCAGCGGTTCTGTAACCAGAATGAGCACTTACCCCATTGCAAACTTTTTCCAAGCCTGGCTAGATTCCCTCCCCTGTGGGGAAAGGCAGCTGTTGATTCACTACAAGCACCCCAGCCCCTCTGACAAATGGTCGGCAAACCTCTGAGGTCGCTCTGGCTCGCGGTTGGCCCCGGTGGAATTTTCACCGTTTATAATTCTCTTTATTCATCCTGGCCAATGTGCGAGGGCAGAGGTTCACAGCCTAGTCCATCCGGTCAAATTTTAGGGACCCCGCCAAGGGGGAGCGGCGGGAAGTGGCGGCCAGCACGTCCCGTGGCCCGTGCTGCTTCTCCGCTCCCGCCCCCTCCTCCCCTGCCCATCCACGGAGGACACGGCGAGGGGGCTGTCGTGACCAAAGGTGGCTCCTTGGCCAGGGACGGAGCCCTGGGGGAGGGAAAAAAAGCAAAGGAAAAGCAAGGATTGGGCCCACTGCGGGGCGGGGAGAGGGCTGGAGCATAAACAGCAGTGCAGCTGGTGGCAGGAGGACGGATGGTGTCTCCTGGGGTATCGAGATCCCGACCTGAGGGCAGCAGCTGTGCAGCCAGTCGCAACCGTTGAGCCCCGGGCGAGACTCGCCGGGCGGAAAGTCCCGGTCCTGGGGCGGGCCAGATCCTTACTTTTCAACTTTCTGCAGACCCCTTCCGGTACCGGGTTGGGAACCGCTGTGGGCTAAGGCCCCATCCTGCGAGGTGCTGTACCACGCGGCAGCAAAGCCTGTGCTTTCCCCAGTCTGAGCAGGCTGCTCCAGTGACTTGAGTGAAAGTCTGTGCTGCTGAGCGGAGCCCCCATCTCCGACTCTCTCGCGCTTGCTCGGAGAACGGAGACCGCGGGCGCGATGACGTATGAAAAGCTTTGGAAGGGATCGAACTCCTGCCAGACCCCAGCCAAGGGGGGTTGGGAGGATGTTTCCTGGGGGCAGGTGGCTTTCCCATCGTGTAGGTTCTTGCACCAGCCTTTCAAGCAGCCGGAGTTTGCCCTCAGGAGCTGACGCGCGCTTTGGGCTGCTTGGATCCATGCACGGCGCCGGTGTTCCAAAGCTGGGCATGATTCCTTTCACCCTGTGCCTCAGAAGCAGGGCCTCCCCTGGGCAGAGCTCCACGGCCTTGCTACAGAAACGTTGCCGCCACACGGCTCACAGGAGGCTAACTCTGGTGGGGACTTGGGGGACCTGGGCGTTCATCCACCCGCTCGCATCACCCTGGGCAGCGGCACCCTCGGGGAAGGCTCCCAGGCCTTCGCACAGCCAGCCCTGAGGGAGCGGGGTGCTGACGGGACAGGGCTCCCCCAGTTGCTGTGGGAGGAGGTGGGAGGGTCAGCGTGTGGCAGGATGAGGCCGAAAGGTTTCCCCCTCCCATACCCCGGTTGCCACGTGTCAGGTGTGGGAGAGTCGTCATGTGGCGGGGTGGAAGTGAAGCCGCCTCTGAGGCCCCCTCCCCCGTCGGTATGTGACTGGTGTGGAAGGGTAGGTGTGTGGCGAGGGTGAAGACTCCATGCCCTCCCCCATCACCGCAGGTGCGGGAGAGCCGCCGTGCGGCTTCCTGAGGGGCTCCAGTCACCACATAATCTGGGCGTGGGCGTGAAGGCTCCTCCCCCGGCTGCCCTGTGGCGGGGGAAGGTTGAAAGCTCCGCCCACTTCACCCCAGTTCCCGCGTAGCGTCGGAAACGTGGTGCTGCCCCGAGGTGCCGAACCTCCCGCCCCCTTCCTGACTCTGTCGCCTCTCTCCCTCCCGTGCAGGCAGGACAAGCTGAAAGTCCACATGCGGAAGCACACAGGTGAAAAGCCTTACCTGTGCCAGCAATGCGGGGCTGCTTTTGCTCACAACTACGACTTGAAGAACCACATGCGCGTGCACACTGGCTTGCGGCCTTACCAGTGCGACAGCTGTTTCAAGACTTTCGTCCGATCCGACCACTTGCACAGGCACCTTAAAAAAGATGGTTGCAACGGCATCCCATCCAGAAGGGGGCGCAAGCCCCGGGTCAGGGAGGCGAGTGGCGTGCCCGCCCCTGCAGGGAACCCCGAAGACGGAAGCGTGGAAGCCGGTGGCGAGAGACAAGAATCACAGGAGGACACCAGGCGGAAAAATGGCGAGGAGGAGGAGGAAGACGAGGAGCACTTTGAAGATAGTTCTAACAATGAAGCGTCAGGAAGATTGAATGTAGCGGGGGGGTCGTCAGAGGGTAACACACAAGGACTCTCCTAAACCAAAAAAAAAAAAAAAAAGTGTCACAAAATCTAGTTAGTACTTTCCTCCAATTTCTCTTTAAAATATTTCTCCCCCTTTTTAAAAGATCTCTCTATATAAATATATATATATATAATGTTTCCAATCTTCCCACCATAATCAATTGTATGCGGATACCTCCCAAAGCTAAGGATCTTTGGCTGGAAGGCAGAGATTTAGGCAGTGTGAGGTTTGGGAGGGTCGAAAGGTTGATCTCTACCATGGAAAGAAGCATCCATGCAAATCCAAAGCTTTATGTTGTGTCCAGACACACTTTAAAAACTGTCAGAAAAGCATCTGGTTTAAAAAAAAAAAAACCCCAACAGAAAAATTCCAAGAGCCGAATAAGTTCTTAGGCAGTCGCTACATTTTGTGCCTCCATCTGATTGGATGGGTAAAAACGGGTGCAACGTTCTCGCCTCCCTTGGAAAGTTGATTCTGTCCTAGGGAGGTCACTTCCTGGCTGGCCTGGTGCTGAGCAAAGCTGGCTTCGCGGTGGCGAAATCACCTGGGAGCCAGCCCCGGGGCACGATCTTTATAATGACGACGAGGTGGGGAAAACCGATGCTATTTTACGTGTTTGTTTTTAGGGCTGTGTGGGTAGGGAAACAGGATTTTTCCCGGCTGCTCTGGGCGGCGGGCTGGAAAGGCCTAGAAGCCGGATGAAACGTGGCTTTCCTCGGCGGGTTGAGCCGAGCACGTTGTGCCCGATTGCGGGGCCGGGCTCCTGCGCTGAGGCCCGGCTCTGCTGCAGAATGGCTGGGTGACGGGGCCCAGTCGTGTTCCCGCTCCAGGGCTCGGCTTCCTCAGCTGTAATATGAGGCTGGTGCACTTTTGTGCAAGGTGTGGGAAGTGCTCTGAGCTCTGGGGTGGGGGGGCATGCTCTTTCCATGCCGGCAAACTGGGCCAGGTAGGGGTGACTGGGTGAGGCTCGCTCAGGCCGAGATGGCGCACCTCTCTGCTCTGTGCGGACCACGTGGTGGCCCTGGTCCTGAGGATGTTAGCAGAGCCCTCGGCCAAAATGCCCCTTCACCCACGCACTGGGCAGCGTGTTGTCCGCCCAGCAGAGGTGGCTGCATTTCCAGGAAAGCTGGCTGGAGCATGTGGCTTCACCGGCCCCGATTTATCAGCTGCCCTGTAGCTCCCAAACTCCTCTCCCTAGTACTTTGAGTCAGGCAGGAATCTGAGCGATTCCAGGCAACCGTTGATCCAGGAAGGGGCTAGTTCTGCATTTTCATGGCGTATCGCTAAGGGGGCTGTGCTAGGCAAGCTGTACCCAACGGGAGCGGAGCAGAAAGATTTTGCTAGGTCAGCTGATTGCATCCGACATCCTAACCTGCAAGATGCAGCACTTATTCAGTCCTCCCTGTTTGGTCAGAGTCTCCAATACCCCCTGCTCCTGTCCAACTGGTACCTTGGGGATGCGGCAGGATTGTTCTCTATGTTTGGGGTGCAGGGAGTTCATGATCAGTAACTGGGAGTCTTAGCACCTGGATTAGCACCTTTCATCCCCAGGTCTCAAAGCACTTGCTTGATTAGATGGTTCTATTAAAGGAATCTCTTGGAGCAGAGTAGAAATCGGATGGGAGCACCCTAAAAACAGCTAAAACAAATGGGGGGGGGATGGGTTGTTTCAGGCCTCCCGTAAAGATTCAGGGAGCTTTTCTGGAGATGGAAACTCTTGGGGTAGAAATCAAAGCATGGCGGGGCTGCTTCTGCTTTGGAGTTGGCCTTTGGAATTTCTCTTGCGGGGGACATCAAACGCACCCGCTTCTAGGATCCGTCAGATGGGCACTGATGTATCAGCTGCCTTGCAGAGGCAAAGCCTGATCGGGTTGTGTGAGTCGGGGGCGCTGAAAGACTGGCCCGGGGGTGCGTTAGATCCACGGTGACGAAAGCGTGACGGGGTGGAGCGGACGGGCGCTGGGGCTGACCGCACTGCCAGTCCTCCCATCCTTTCTTTGCTGTGCTTGCTAGTTGAATGCCCTCCGCTTCACCCTGCGCCCAATTTCAGTACCCGGAAAGGTGCGGGCGCAACCTTCGTGTGAGACGGTCAGGCTCGCAGGCTAACCTGGCACAGAATGAGCCGCTGACGCCTTGAAACCAGGTGGATCAGGGACTGATTCTCGGTTGCACCGAGGCCTTGGCTAGCAGAAAAAGACCCTGAAAGTGGCTGGTAAATTCTGGTGCCCAAGAGGCATAGGCCTTCGGTCTGGTGCCCGCACGGGGTTTGCACCGGTATCACTGTTTTGGGCAGGGGGCTGTGACGTTTGAAACCGTTATATCGATGCTGTGTCTGCTTCAGCTGTAACTAGGATAAACATGTGAGCAGGGAAACATGCAATACTGGTATTTGCACCTTTCTGCCAGTATACCTGCACCCCCACTAGAGGAAGTGTACCCCTGGAACTCTTCCAGGTTCGCTAAAAGAGGTTTAGAACTCCAGGAGGAAGTCTTAATGCTGCAGATTGTTGGTTTTTGCTAGCCAGTCCCAGCCCTGTGATCTGAAACATCTTACCTGGGTCAGTCTCAGTGAATTCCTCGTCCCCAGCTATGTAGACAGTCCTGCATATGGCTATAAAATAAATATTGGTATCTGCTACATAGCTCCTCCAACTTAGAAGAGTCTAGAAAGGGCACCTTTCAGCCAGTCTCCTGTTTTTTAAATGCACAGTTCAAAATGAAAAGAGATTTTAGTCCTTTTATTTTGAAAGCACTTTTTAGATTTTTTTTTTTTTTAATTTTAAAGTGAGAGCAGGTTTGGCCGAATGTAAACTGGAGCTGGAGTGAGAGGGGAGTGTATGGAATTGGGGGGGTGGGGATATATGGGGCGGGGATAGAAAAGAGATGGATGTTTATTTAATGCAGAAAAAGCAATAAAAATATAAAAAAAATTATTATAAAAAACCACAAAAAAACCACAAAGAAGTCTTAGCACTTTGCGATGGAACGGGTACTTTGAGATCACTTTATCTTAATTTAAAAAAGCAAAAGAGAAACATGTTTACAAGTTAAAAAAAAACCAACTTCTACAGAAAGAAATTATTATTATTAAGAAAATTCCTAAATTTATTTTTGTAAGAAAAAAAGTGTATATATATATATATATTAAAAAAAACCACCCCGACCTAGGCAGAATCCAACATCTATTTCATGGAATAATAAAACAAAAAGATACCGAATGAGAGGAAGGTTGCTAATTAGGTTCTGTGACATGGCCTGAAAACAAACCCCTCAGAAGTGATTTTACTTCACAAAATGGAAGCTTGAATATTAGACAGGAATCATGGGTGTTTTTGTTTTTGTATTTTTTCCTTCTATTTTCCTTTTTTTTTTTTTATTTGTTTGTTTGTTTCTTAAATGTCTTATAGCCAGTGCTAGCCCAGACGTCTCTCCCACCTTACCCCATGTGTCCCTGCCCCCTTCTCCCCTCCCGGGAGCATCTTAGCTTGTGTAGCAAGGAGGAAAGAAAGCATCTGAGCTGCTAGGTGATATCGTTTTGTCAGGGGAAAAGCACCGTGAGACGGGGGCAGCTTCTCCACGCTCCCTCGTTAATTTCTTCTCCAAGGGTTACTCAGCCAGGCTCGGAAAAGCGACTGAAAGCAAAAAGCAAACTCCATCTTCAACGTGAACCCGGCGGTTCCCGGCTCTGCCGTCTGCCACCCCACTGCACAGCGCTAGACGTAGTTCGAGGTAGAGACTCGTGGCTTGCTGATCCTGCTCCCCCCTCACCCTCTGCCATGAGTCCAGTGCCTAGTCCGGAATCAGGCGCTGCAGAGGGGTGGAGAAGAAAACCCACCGTACAAATTAAATTCAGAGAAAGTGTGAAAAATAATTCCCCCCCCCCCTTGCTGCTTTTTCGTTTTCAAAGGCGAAGAGACCAAAAAGGGGAAACACCTTGGCCCTCCTGAATCAGAGTTTCCCACAGGGCGTTTGCCCAGCTGTAAGCAAGCCAGAGCCGAAATGCAGGCTTGCTCCAGGAGCAAAGGAAAACTTGGTGCTGGGGCCTTTGCTTTCCGGCTCTAGTTCCCGCGTGCGGCGGGCGAGGCCGGGGCTCAGATGAGCAGTGCGGAGGAGCGAAACCGTTGGGAGAAAGTGCCCCGCCCACCAGGAGCTGGAACTGACCACCCAGGAGGTCTCTTCACCTTTGACTCCTCCGAACCCGCGGCAGTTGAGGTGTATTTTACGAAGCAGGCGCCTGCCTATGAAAACTGCAGCGACGATGCACAGCCAAAGCAGGGACTGTAGCAGTCCCATGCTGCAGCCCACTGGGGCGGGGCTGAAAGTAACTTGCTGCCCCAAATCCAATCCCAGCTTCTCCGTAGCGTCAGGTGCTGGGTGGGCAACAGGGCAGATGGTGCGTCCTTCCTCCGTGCTGTAAAACGCATTGATCTTGGCCTCCACCTTCCCATCCCAAAGAGAGCAGGGTCGGGTAGCCCATGACCTGGGCACTAGCTGGATGTGGCAAACCACCTTTCCCAGGGATGAACCTTGGCTTAGCACTGGCTACCTATTGCATATGCAAAAACTAGTGTGGACTTGTAAATAGACAGTTACTTGAGGTTCTTTATTGTAATCAAAAGTTGTGGTATCTCTCTTCTCGTTTGTGTTCCCCCTTTTCTGCCCCTGCCACCTTTTATGGCTTGTGTGTCTCTCCAAACCTCCTTCTGCCATTGGGGGGGAGGGAAAAGAACCCCCCCCCCCCAAAACGGACAGCAAAAAAAAAAAAAAAAGTCTCAGGATTCTTGTTGGAGAAGGGGAGTCAAACCCCTAGATTTCGTGGGAGAAAGGAGAGCAGTCTCCTCTGGACAATCCCAGCCTGCCCTGCCCGTTTGCAGCTCCGCTTTGGAGTTGCTCTCTGCCACTGAGAACTGGCGAGCGGGGATGAGGGTGTTGTTCACGGCACGTCCCCCCTGGGTGATGGGCCCCGCAGAGCTGGGGCTGGAGTGGCTATCCCAGATCCACCTTCCAGACGCAAGGCCCCCATGCAAACCGGAACAATTCCGCGCTTTGTGAAAGGATCCCTGGGGCGCTGGAACCTCCCCGCTCGGTTACCCGTGGGGATGGGGCGTGCGGGTTGGGATCCATCTCGGCTACCCTGTGGGGGGTAGCCTTCCGGCCCCGGAGGATCAGAGGGCAGCATCCACCCAAGGTCGGCTGTCACAGCTGCCCTCTGCGCCCACCGGGATCCTCTCCCCACTCCCTGTGTTTGGCAGCGAGTCCTGTGGCAGAGGTGGGTTTGGAGGCCGGTGAGCAATGGCTTCTGAACAGAGATACCGCACCTTGTTTGTGATATGAGATGCTTTTCCCTTGATTAGAGACCGGGGGAGCCGCCGCCTGAGCTTTGAGTGGCGCTGGGTCGATGCGTCAGTGCCGGCAACACTTTAGCACAAGCCTTGATCAGTTTGCACTAAAACCCAACCGACCGATCTCCTCCCTTCTCTGTGTAGGGAGGCTCCGGCCTCCAAGTACCTTCTGCCTTAACTTTCTTACCTGTCTTACTCTATGTAACAACCGACGATGAAAGACTAGTGCATGCAACAACTCCCCAATCATATACTGTATATAAGCATTGATTTGTATTGTTAAGATTATTGTTCTTTTGAAATTCAGGTTGTGATAAAGTGTTGCCAAAGATACTGCTGAATTATAACATTTCAGGAAAACAAACAAACAAACCCCACAACCCCTAACTCCTACAAACCAGACCACACGGCGGGCTGTCGTTTGGCCTCTCTTAATTGCTTGGTCTAGAAGGAAACATGTTATTTCAGTGGTGATATAACTGTGTGTGGGGGTGTGGCCCAGCTGGTGGTTTGTCCTAGACTGGGGGGGCGGCGGGAGGGCCTGGGCTGTCCCGAGATGGGGTTTTATCCCCCTGCGGATCGGGAGTGGAAGTTTCACCAGGGCTGTCCAAGATCCCTCATGCTTTTGGGGCCAAGTGAGCATTGGAACTGCACAGCCAGCGAGCCGACTGTGCTCCTGCTCCGGCGTCTGCCGGGGATCGCGCCCTCCGAAGCCAGCAGCCTCGCTGCCGCAGGCCTGGGAGGGTTGACACTAAAGACAAACGTCTGTGTGGTCCCATTCCCCCCCCCCAGCGTTGTGGGAGGGGAACACAGATTGTCCAGAGCATCTGACGCCCTCCCCCCAGTCTAGAAGGAAACCTACCCAGCCACACACAGACTCCGAGGCCATGGCTCTGTGCTAGGAGGGAGCGCCTGGCCTTTGGCGAGGCTGATGGGCGGTTGTCGTTTTAAGCTGTTCTCGCCTCCCTACCGTTCCCTTCTTCCTCCCCCCGTCCCCCATGTGAAACCAGTGAATGTAACCCCTGGATGTGGAAGGGTTAAGGAAGGCGGGAGAGGGGCAGGCCCAGCTGTGTTTGTAAAAGGCCCTGGTTGAATCCAGGCCTACGGGTGATGTGATCAGAACTGTGAGTTCCAGAGACTTTGTCAGTACATACCAAAGTACACTCCACCCTCACTGCAAGGCGGGGCTGAGAGAGGGGACCCCTTTGATCTCTCCCCATCAGACTGGGATTGGTCCTTCAGCGTGGGGGACTTCCTGGAGGGGGGGGGGAGATCCCTAGAGCTGCGGGAGCTGCCTGCTGTGAGCGTGGGGTGTATTTTCCATGCGGCATATGTCTGTGTCATTTTTGGGGGGGCCCCTTCCCCCACTTCTCTGGACTCTCGTTAAAGACGCTGCAGGCTCTTGCTTAAACTCTTCCCCGGTCTCCGCTGGCCCCCGGCAGGAGTCGAACCCTTCGCGAGGGGGGGGGGAGATCCCTAGAGCTGCGGGAGCTGCCTGCTGTGAGCGTGGGGTGTATTTTCCATGCGGCATATGTCTGTGTCATTTTTGGGGGGGCCCCTTCCCCCACTTCTCTGGACTCTCGTTAAAGACGCTGCAGGCTCTTGCTTAAACTCTTCCCCGGTCTCCGCTGGCCCCCGGCAGGAGTCGAACCCTTCGCTTGCGGAGGTCGCAAGCCCAGGGAGAGCATTGGTGGGCGGAGGGTTG